CGACCATTTTTCTCCAAAGAACAAACAAAAAATAACTAGGAAGAGGGGAAGTCCCCCTTTTAGACAGGTGGCTACCAAATTGGAGTTTACATAGTTATGTGGGAGGGGGCAGTAGCAGAAGAGGGGGCGGAATGGAGCACCCTCTGACATGTGCTGCACAAGTTTTTCGGCTGAATTTTTGGACGATTAGAAAATGCTTCAGAGCAAAGTAAAACCAAAAGGCTCTGACAAATGCCCAGACTTGTTGTTGTTAATGTTGTTGTTGTTGTTGTTGTTTCTGCTCCTGTGGTGATTAATGACGTCGAATGCTGTAAATGCAGACAGCGGGAGAAACGTGCGGGTGGCCGCCAGCCTTGGCAGCTTAATTTAAAATGAAAATTGTACTTAATTTCTAGCGTAGCTTAGCAGGCGACTTGGGTCTCTAGCTGGCTGGGCGGGCAGAGGAGAGGAAAGACATCTGCTGTTGCTTATAGATTAAGACAGAGAGAGAGAGAGAGAGAGAGAGAGAGAGAGAGAGAGAGGGAGAGAAAAAGATAGAATCAGCTTATAGAAAAGCCGTTCGGCAACTCGCCCATCATCAAGCACAGCTCATTGTCTGGCCAGGTTTTGGAATGTATGACTCTATTTATAACGCTTTACACATAATTCAAACACTAAGCAATGTACATCATTTAATGCCAGGCTTCACACGAGATGAGTTTTATAAGGTTAGCCCATAAGTTGGGCTACTTTTGGAGTTAAGCAGCAAGTTGGGTATAAATGTAAATATAATTGAAAACCTTTAAATGAAAATATATATTTAACGCTGTTTATCAGGATTTAAAAAAAAAATGAAAATTGAAATTGAATTGAAATTGAAATTTATTTTAGCAAAAAATATTTAAAGCCTAATATTATATATTTTACAAAATTATAGCCTTAATATAATAGTAATAGAATTTTTAATTATCAAATAATAAAATATTAAAACAACCCCCATCAGTTCATTGCTAGCTTTGATTTATAAAAAATGTAATTTTAAGAATTATTAATTTAAGATTTGTTTTATTACAAGATTATTCTTATTATTATTATAAATAAAATAGTGAAATAAATAATAATAATAATAATAATAAAAATAATAATAATAATAAATAATAATAATAATATTTATAATAATTATGATAATAATAATAAATAATAAAAATAATAATAATAATAATAATAATAATAATAATAATATTTTATAATTTTAAGAATTATTAATTTAATATTGGTTTTATTACAAGATTATTCTTATTATTATTATAAATAAAATAGTGAAATAAATAATAATAATAATAATAATAATAATAATAATAATAATAATAATAATAATAATAATAATAATAATAATAATAATAATAATAATAATAATAATAATAATAATAATAATAATAATAATAATAGTAATAATAATAATAATATTGTTGTTTTACATGTCCCCGTCTCCAATCGCTTTTTGCTGGCTTTGATTTATTTAAAAAAATATGTTTCAAATTTGTATTAATAATTTGTTTCAGTTTATCAGGATTTAAATAAATATGGAAAATAACAGACTGCAATTTGTATCAATATATATTTAATTTAAAATAAAATTCCATGAATCATGAAATCAAAACTAATTTTTTTATAACTTTTTCTTAATATATAAAATAAGTTCATTTAGAATAAAGTTCTAATTTGCCTGCAGGCCGAACCTAAATTGAATTTTGAGTGAAAAAATTTGGAATAAATTTAGCTTAGCTTGGTTATAGCTTTCTTTCTAAGTGCATGGACACATTGACAAAACGCATATGTCCCATACATGTTTAAATTTTCGACTTTCGCCTTTCAAGATTTCAATTTTCAAGTTTGTTCGGCGAACCGCAAACAAATTGAATTAAGATTACCACGTGAGGATTTCAAAGAATTTACACAAAGTCAAACAAGCTTTAGTTTATTATTATTATTATTTGGATGTGAGTGTGGCTGTGGATGGGTGGGCGGTGGGTTGTTGGGCGGAAAAGCGTTGGCAATTTTCAATCGCAATCTGTTTTTTTTCTTGTTTTTGGTTTATTTCTTTCGAGCAAAAGCTACTTTATTTTGACAGCAGACAAACAAATGTCAGAATTGAAATTAAAAGGGAAGCAGCGACAGGCAGACAAGAGCGGGAAAAACTTGGTGAAAAACATGAAGAAGAAGAATCAGCAGCAGCAGTAAGAAGTGGCAGCCGCATTACGCATCAGCGACAGCTACTACCAACTCTCTCTCTCTCACCCTCTCTTTTTCCCTACACCCACACGCATTGCTCTGCTGACTTTCTTGCATTCCCGTATTTGCTTTGGTTTTCCTTTGTGTGTGTGCGTGTATTTTTTTGTTGTTTTTGTACATTTCACACAGCGTGAAATTTTCTAAATGTCATTTTGCTGTCATCTCGTGGATAATAAGATTACAACTACGTTGAAATAATAGGATTCAAATGAAAAAACTTTGCCGTCGTCTGTCTTTTACTCCTGCTTCAGCTTCCTCATCCACTGCCTCTTCTTCTTCTGCTCCTTTGACTTTTCCTTGCGCATCTCAACTTTCAATACGACTTACACCTCGAACTCAGATATATATCTGAAAAGTCCCCAGTCCAAAATGTGGGTGAGATTCTTGGCAAAGTGCAAAGTTTTCATTTGGTCGCGCTGATTGAGTAGTGCGATAATGATTAAGCAGCTGCCAAGTAACTCCCGCCAAAGCTGTACCCAAAAAGAAATAAAATCAAAACATACATCGACAAAATAAACATAATTCGGTAAAAGCAGACTTATGATCTCGAGACCACACTTCAGACGTCTGCACAATGCCCGTCTGCATGCATAATTGATTCGATCGTTCGTCTTTAATGAGCCAAAGCAAAACTAGAAGAAAAAATAGGTTTGCTTTCATAGATCCCGCCCGCAGGCTAGAAGTTGACGAAAGTACTTGCCATTATAGCAAAAAAGAAAGACTGAAAACAGAAGTAGATAAATAAAACTACAAGCTGGCCAAAAAGCGACAGCTTGGATAGATCACTGCCGCGGGCTCATTAAAATAAAAACCGGCTTTCATTACCGCAAAACTCGACTATAAAAGCACAGCGCAACAATCCACACAGCATCAGAACTTCTTCAGCGTTCTAACAAGTCATAAGTACATAAAAAATATCAAAATGAATCCCATTTTTGTGATCACTTTGAGTGCTGTGTTTGTGGCTCTGGCTGTGGCATCGGTAAGTAGAAATAATAGATCAGAAGAGAAGTAAAAGAAGCTGGAAAAAAATATTAGCAAAAAGAGGAATAAGATAAGTTAAAGCTGAACAATATTACGAATAAAATGAGATTCTGGAACTGTAAGTAGAAATAACAAATCAGAAGAGAAGTGGAAAAAGTTAGGAATGACAAGTACTTAAGTTTAAGGTCAGCAAATAGAAAAAAAAAATGATTTAAGAACTATTAGATGACAAATCAAATAATAAGAGAATTAAAGAGAATGAAGAAGATAAGTTAAGGAAAAAGCCGAACAATATTTTGAATAATATGAGATTCTGGAACTGTTATAATAGGATTAGGTGTAGAAAGAAGAAAATGTAATGAAAAAAGGTGAAAGGAGGAGAAAATAAAAGAGATAAGTTACACAAAAATCAGAAGATACAAGTATTAGAGAAAAAAAGAGAAACAATGAACTGTTATAATGAGATATAAATTAAGAAGAAAAAGAAGTGGGAATGGGTCTTCTATACAGATATAATAAGTGTCCAGTAAATTTAAAAAGAAAGTACAGTCAAAAAGTAACTTTCGAATAAAAAGAAGAAGCAAAAAGAGTCGGAGCTAGCAAATACTTATATCTAAAAGATACAGCAACTGATTTCGATTTGATTTTACCCATTACCAAATCCAAACTCACAGCCAATTGAGCTGACCGAGGATCAAAAGGCTCTGACCAAGCAGTATGGTGAGCAGTGCGCCAAGGAGGTCAACCTGACCGAAGAGGAGGTGGCCAAGGTGAAGGCCAAGGACTTCAAGAGCCCCAGCGAGAATATCAAGTGCTTTGCCAACTGCTTCTTCGAGAAGGTCGGCACACTCAAGGATGGCGTTGTCCAGGAGGAGGTTGTTCTCAAGAAGCTCGGCGCACTTATTGGCGAGGAGAAGACCCGCGAGGCGTTGACCAAATGCGGTGGCATTAAGGGCGAGAATAACTGTGATACGGCAACCAAATTGCACGAATGCTTCGAGTCCTTCAAGCCCATCGAGGTGCAGGCTTAAAGCAGCGACCAGCACATGCTGACAAATTGTAATTAATTTATGCGTGCATTGAAAAACAACAATAATAACTATATATCATAATAGACAAAACAAAAGGTGTATCTGTGTGTGGGGGTGGGTGTATTTGCGTGTGTGTGCATTAGTTAACCAAACGGACTTTGCTGCCTTCCAAATGCACTGTTCGACGAGTATGTTTTTCAGTGGTTGCAAAAATATGTAAACAACACGCAACTATTCTTTTGGAATGCATTTTGCCGCCTATAGAGCATGAGAAACAACTGAATTTGTCAGCGATTGTTTCAGTATGTTTTTGTAAAAGTATTATGCATTAGCTGCTGTTTTGCCTTACGAGGTGGTGAAAAGGGCATGTGGTTATATAAATATTGTGTGCAGATAGACTGCATAGCTTTTGGGACAAATTAAATGCAACCTATGGTCCATTTGGGTGCTTGCACGCACTCGCTGGGATGCGTCACAGTTTGTCACAGCTTAATTGCAGCTTAACTGGCCTCTGGACTGGGCATAAGCCAGCAGCTTAAATGGATTATGTGTACATATTTGTACACACATATATACATATATACTATATAAGTTCTTGTACGTGTGTGAGTGTGTGTGTGTTTGGGTATATGTATTGGCTCATTTGCCATTTTCAATTTGCATAATTAAATGCACAATGCGCGTGTCCACCATCACGATTATGCGGCAAATGCGTTAATATTGTAAAATAACTTTATTATTTAACGGATTTCACTGCGTGATTGCCGCTGTTCGCTTATCATTTATGCAAAGTGCAGCGTTTGCCCCTTGAAGCCTTGCCCTTCAAGCCTTAAGTGCCTTTGCCATGCACTGCTCAAAGTTGTAGACAAAATCGCAGTTGTTGGCGGACTTTGCAACGTTCGTGCCACAGCTGGCCAACTGGGTCTTGATCTTGTCCAGCGGTGCTTTGTTGAAACGTATCTGGCTAAATTTCAGTATGTTCTCGTTGTTGGGTTTACCGTCGGCTGTCACCAGGCCCATTTTCTGGTATAGGCAATTGTGATAGCACTTGTATGCCTCAGAGGCATTGGCCACCTCTTTTTCGGCTGCGATTTGTGCGGCCTCCGCGTCGGGAATCTTCAGCTCCTTGATGCATGCCTGTTGCTTCTCCTTGTAGGCAGCCAAATCTGCAGCACTCTGCGACTGTGAGTGATGTTTAGTTGTAGAAATAATGTTAAGCCATTTACAATTCTTACCAGAACCAGCTCGTAGAGAGAGAACACTACAAAAACAACCACAAATATCTGAACTTTCATCTTGTTACGAATTTTTCAAACTGTTTTTTGTTGCACTAGTACAAGCTGCTTATATAGTCAAAGCTGAAAATATTAGCAGCTTGTAGTTCACCGAAATATAAAAATACTTTTAATTAAGTTATTATATTTCAATTTTGTTTTAATTTTCGCTATAATTGCTTACATTTTTGCTTGTTAAAATTTTCAAACCTAGCGTCAAATTTTTATTTCCTGCATTCGTTTTTTCATTTTATGTAATGATTGTGAATTTTTTGTATAAACAATTTATTTTTTTGGCATGGCTATATGCTGAAATTCACACTGAAAATAGCTGGAATTACATGTTTTAGGATGGTGTACAGACTATGTGATATAATTCTATACCTAGATATGTGTTACACTAGCAGCTATGCTAACATGTTATTGAAACATGAAGAGACTATGCTATGATTAGGTTATTCTATGAAGCTCTGTTAATAGCAGTAGTATGTTTTAAATAAATTACTGCCATCTATATATATTAAAGAGTTAGTCAAAGGTTTTCTCAAAGTGTGGTCAACGTTTGTAGGATAAACATCAAAAATAATGCAACGATTTTAATATTTCTTTGAACGAACGCGACGTCTTGAGCTTGCATTGCTGTGCAGCTTGAGCGTCTGACCAACAGGTCGCCGGTTCAAATCCAGCTTGTAGAGGGTATAATAGTTTTGTCGTGAAATGTGTAACGCCGCGAAGGGGACATCTACCACACCATAAAGTATATATATTCTAGATCAGCATCAACAGCCAATTCGATAAAGCAATATCCGACAGGCGTCTGTTGCTAAGTTTAAAAGCTATCGTATTGAAACTTTGCATAGATCCGTTTCTCTGTTGTAGGCAGTACGTACTTCAAAACCGGCCGGATCGTTCCACATAGGAACGATCAGTCGAAAATTAGGTTCTTGTAAGGAAAATGTTTTTGTTTATCAAGATATCTTGTTCAAGCTTGGCATTCGAAAGTTTCACAACATTGGACCTCTTCGTCTATAGCTGCAAAAGAAAGATCGGTAGGTATGTTTTTATATGGCAAAATAATCTGTTTTCTAAAATTTTTTTTATCAAACTCAGCATTACGAGCTTCAAGGGCGTGCCGAAATATCCTTCTTTCTCGATATATTCGCCATTTGTTGACGCCGGCTATTATTTGTTCTGACATGCTTTATTCCTTGTCGCAGCCCAAAATTATACATTTATTTGTATATTAGAGCAAGCACAGCCGTAAAGCGTGCTACACATTATTTATTGCAGCAAATCAACTTTTACCTTACTTTTTGCCATATGCATAATACAGGTGCATATAACACACACATGTGTATATATATATATATGTAAATTAAATAGATTATAGTTGAATCTATGCTGCTTGTGCCGTTGTTTCGCTGAAGCGCTGAATGATCTCATTGGCCTTATCCGCTTCACTCACAACATTCTCATTCTCATTCTCCTCATTGTCCATAGTTGCCACATCGCCGCCAGATTCGCTGCGCTCGAGCACCTCGCGCAGTCGCTGCTCCGTCTCCAGATTCTTTAGATGATTGTAGCACAAATGCAGCTTGTAGGCGGCCTCACAGCGATTCTTGCTGCTCATGTCCCTGCACTCCTTCAGCTCTGGCTTCAGGCGTTGCATGAGGCCCTGCAATTGCATTCGGAACGCCTCCTCCAGCATCATGTCATAGTGCACCAGGCCCAGGCTTTCGTATAGGCAGCGCACAAAACACTGCAGCGGTTCATTCCGCTTCAGATCCAGAAATGGTGTCGCATTGCTATAGTCCAAGTCGGGCAGATTATTGCCCGTGTTCAGCTCAGCATCAGCAACGTCGCCAGGTGCCAGGGCCGGTTCGTTCTCCCCGTTGTTATTATCATTAAAGAGCAGGCTGAGCCGAAAGAATTTCAGTTGGGACATGGACACATCCGTCTCCCGCATGCACGACTGCAGCAGCTCCTGGTTGAGCTTAGCTGTAGCCTTTGTCTCATTCCGTTCATCCAGTTCGCTGCGAGTCAAGGACATGTTCAGCGAAACAGAGACGGAACGTGCCTGTCTTAGAGAAAGTAAGAGAAAGAAAGAGAGAGAGAGAGAGAGAGTAGTAGAAACCCAGCTCTAGACACTTTCGTGAAAAACTGTATATTACCCAAGCTGGATGCGCTAGTTCACTGAGAAACAGGCTGAGGGCCAATAACAGGGTGACTCGTTTAAACATTTAAATATATTCTGATAAACTCAAATAATTTTTAAGCACCTTCAAAGCGGTCAGTGGACAACTATGTATATGAGACTCACGCGCCAGACGCATGGCATTTTATAAAGCCAATTTTTTTGATAATTATAAGCCGTAAATGTTATTTAATAGCTGCAATATTATGTACACTTTAATTCTCACACGCCTCAATAGACACTGATCGGAAATGGATCAACAGTATTTAGAGTGTATAAATAATGTGAGTGCGAATTTCATGCTCAATGCTTTTAACAGGCAAAGCGATTTTTTGAATCATTTTATAGATTTTAATGACTGCGAATTTTTAGATAAATATTATTAGAAAGGACACAGCTCAGTGCGTAGCCACTGATTGCAAGCAATGCTTCTAAAATGACCCCAACATAATCCAGATCATAATCTTAAAATATTAATTAAAATATAGTCATAAACTAAACTTAAAATTTTGTAATTTTTTCATCTATTTAATTATTTAAGTAATAAGTTTTTTCTTTAAAGTAGTTTTACAATTACTTAGGTAATTAAATTTGAACACTATAATGGAACTACGAAATGGGTAAAAAACATTATTCAATTGCTAAATTTTGACTGAGTTTTTTTTGGGCCAATTAATCAAGCGATTGGAAATGCTTTTAAAGGCATGCGAAGAATGTTATCAAGGTGTGAGATATTTATTGACTGAAGATATCAGACAACTCGGCTAGCCTTAAAAGCAAAATCTAATTGATGAACTTTCTAACAGACGTGTGCTGATTATCTGAAACAGAACACAGAAACAGAAGCTGCTCGCCAGGCACATGTATGTCTTTAAGATCAAAGTAAAGACAGCTGAACTGTCAATGCCACAACACCAATACATATATACATATATATATATATATATTTATAACAACCCCCCGAGCGCAGTTTTTATAAAATTAAATTACATTAATGTGAGAACCGCAGGCAGCCAATCCCCAACCACCATAGCAAAGCACATTCATTGAGCCAACTAACAAGGCTGACAAGACAAGCGAAATAAGAAAAGTTGCCCGGCTGGTTGGCGGTTCCGTACGGACTGTAATGCTCGGCTCGATTTGGCTTGGCTTGGCTGTCTGTCTGTCTGCATGTCCGACTGTCTGTCAAGACAAAGGCTAGTGAAGCATCAATGTGTTTGTCCCTTTGGCAGCGTCCACAGAGCACGCGTGTGGGTTTTCTTTGACAAGCCGCCAGCGCAGAAACCACGAGCTGTCTACTTAAATGCATTAGCTGGGCAGCGGGTGGCAGGGAGGTGGGGCCGGGTGTGTGTTGGGGGTGGGTGCGGCAGAGGGTGCTTTTTAATAGACATTAGTAAACGCATCAGTGATTATGCCAAGGCTTTTGTGCAGACAACTGCAACTGAAACGGATGCTAAATGGAAGTGACAGGACAGTCCGTACTGCCAGGAAGTGACAAAATGAATTATAGACGCTCATCCAGCCAGTCAGTCCGTCAGTCAGTCAGACGGACAGTCTGCCTGTCGTTTGAGTCAGCGTTCAGCTAACGGGCTCCCAAATTCCCCAAGCGTTTGTCCTTTATATGCGAAACGTAACGTAACGTAACGTATTCACGGAGCGTGCAACCCTATAAAAGGTGTCTACTCCGCCCACCTGCACACCTCACTGACCCACTGGCAATTGCAATTGCGCCACGTGCTCAATGAATGTTTAATGATTTGTTAATTGGATTTTGGCTTTTGAACAGCGACAACAACAGCAACAACAACAACAATGAAAGGTCAAGCCCCAAACATGTGCCTATTCATTTGTAACAAACATTACGCATACGTCGTGTTGACCGCCTTTTGTAAAAGCAAAAATAGAAATAAATAAAAGGGGGAAAAAGAAAAGCGAAAGTTTTCAAGTGACGCTCATCAATATTTATGCATTGTATAAACGTGCAAATGCCTTCGGGACCAAGGACTTAACGTCTGATGGCGGTCTGACAGCTGCCATCTAATGATGCCCAACTGTTATGCAAATGTTCAACCAAATGACCAGCACCTGGGCCTAGGTAAATTCTATCCATAAAATAACACACAATACTACTGAGAAATTAACACTTTTCAATATTAAAATTTCTTATTTATATATATGTCAAAGAGCTGGCCCCGACTGACCTGGTTATAAAGTGATCAACTGAATTTCTTAAGTGAAGCTTTCTTTTGTGTCTAATGTTAAGACGAAAGTCTTTGGGGAATTCGATATATAAGTGGGAAGAAATGGGTGGCCAAGACATCAATAACAAGAACCATATAAGTATGCTTTGCAAATGTGTCATCTTGAAACTGTGGGATTTAGGTGCCTGAGCGTTGGACTAACAACTAAGAATTTGCCGGTTCGAATCATACGGCAATTTGCAATGTTTCTATTTTTATATCCTTGTAGAGAGTATTACAATTTAGTCATGAAATATGTAATGCATAGAAGGAGACATCTACGACCCCATAATATACATTTATAAAGGATCATCATAGAGTGCAACAGCCGAGTTGATATAGCCATGTCCGTCTTTCTGCTTCTGTTCGAACTAGTCTGTCAGTTTGAAAGCTATCGTCATGAAATTGTTTCATATTTCTGTTGCATATGTCATATGTACATATGTCGGTGCCGGTCGAATGGGACCCTTATATCATATAGCTGCCATAGGAACGATTGGTCCAAAAGTATGTTCGTGTATCGAAAACTTTTTCTATTAAGATATCTTGACCAAACTCGGCATTTATAAGTTTCACTATGCTCTTTACATATAATTAAT